GCTGGGGCCGGGGCCTTCTCCAGAATTCGGACCAGGTATGATATTTTCGTCAGAGTCTGAAGTGTCCGATTCAGAACTGGGTTCAGATTCAGAGCCGGGACCAGATATAGGATCCGGTTCTGATTCCGAGCTAGGACCAGATACAGGATTGGGTTCAGATTCTGAGCTGGGGCTGGATATGGGACCGGGGCCTTCTCCCGAATCCGGACCAGGTATGATATTTTCGTCAGAGTCCGAAGTGTCCGATTCAGAACTGGGTTCCGATTCCGAGCTGGGACCGGATACCGGATCAGGCTCCGATTCAGAGCTGGGACCGGATACAGGATCAGGTTCAGATTCAGAGCTGGGACCGGACACAGGATTAGGTTCAGATTCAGAGCTGGGTCCGGATACAGGACCAGGTTCCGATTCGGAACTGGGACCGGACACAGGATCAGGTTCAGATTCAGAGCTGGGGCCGGACACAGGACCGGGTTCAGGTTCAGGGGTGGGATCAGGTCCAGGGGTGGGATCAGGTCCAGGACTAGGCGGTTCTGTAGTTTTACGGTAAATTTTTATGATGGCTCCATCTATTTCACACAAATTAAAAAATTAATCTTTTTGTCGGTGCAATTAAAAATTTCAGTATAACATTAAAGAAACCATACTTTACCTCTCTCGATAACTCTGGTCGGCTTATCAAAATCTATCCCACCTTGGGGGAAACCATAACCACTCGGTAATAAACAAAGAATACTCGAAAAAACTAATATCTGAATCAGAATCATCCTTAAAAATGATGTGGGAACACGAAGTATCTGATTCTATCACTTTCCCACAAAATGGAATATGTTCCTAGTTACAGCTCTTTATATTCGTACATGTTTTTAAACTAATCAAAATGTATCTCGGTTAAGATGCGGAAAATTCGTTGCCCATATTAGTCTAACCGACAAGCAATGATTGGCCATTGAACAGGTAATTTCACGATCTTTTTTGTCATTTGCATTTATTAACTACTAATAAAGATATGTCAATGGTCGAGGAAACAACATTGGAATATTTCAAAAGCTCAAAATTTGAATAATACGAATATATACATGATGATTACTTTCATGAAGATCGCAGATTTATGGTATTGTTGCAACGACCGAGCTATAAGATTGTTGACTAGGAGGAATTACGCAAAATGAAACTGCAATCTATTAAAACGGATTCGAAATTCAAAAGCACAAGGTATCAATTACAACACAATCACCGTCGACTTTTCAAAGTGAAGCATTTCTGTTTCCTATCACCTTATTTTTTTTTCTCAGATTTCCGGAGACATTCAGACGATTTGGACACCAAAAATGCCCGATCCAGACCTCAATGAATATTTATTTCAATCCTTCAGTTGAATTTCGCCACAAAATTGCACAACCATCGACAGATGCTATCTAAAATTCAAATATTTATCATTTCAGATAATATTCAGTTCCCCTGGTATACAAACTTGGAAACTTCAAGTACTCCTCCATGTTCTACATCTTCTCTATTTTCGCAGTCCGAAGGTCTGGATGCTGATTATTATGTATGATATATAGGTCAAATGCAGCTGTTGCTAACAATCGATATAGGACTTGAATTACATATTAAAATTCGTGAAATTGCGTCAACTCAGCGTTTAAGGTCGAGTACCAAACGCCAGAGGCTTTCACGAACTTGGGTAGGTAACACCTGTCACTTACAATCAACCTACCAGTTTAACTGGATACCATACTACTATTGGATTTCTACCATAGGAGGTACACGACAGCATTATATAAAGCGCCATGTGCACACTTCAGGTCCTCCTTCCGCCAACGACAGTATAGTAGATGCATTGTCGCAATCTCGGACTCTCCACTGCCAAAAGAAAAAATGATATTTCCCCAGGATTCATGTACTCGAGAGAAGTATGTATTTTCATAAAAACGTTATCTCTCCAGGTGCGTCAGCTTCAGGTGCTCTCGACTAGATCTTACCGAAGATAATCATAATGCTCCAGAGGATGGCCATGTTGGCTGTCACCTTGACTAGTCTCGACCAATAATTATTACTGAAGAATTCCGTCAATTAATTTAATTAATAATACTCCTCTGAACAAATGGCTCTATAGAAAAAACAAATTTTTTTTACTTGCCATAAAAGTTCAAGTAAAAATCTGCTATCTTCAAATTTCCATGTCCAGAATGACGGAAAAAAAAATAACCCAGCAAATGGTAAACACGGTAGGACTAGACCAATTTCGCCTAGAACAAAAGGGTAAGAAAATGAATTTCTGAGGATATTTTTGCAAGGTACCGAGGGGGTAAATAAGTGAAGTTTCATACGTCGTTGGAGGAGGTCTAAGCATACATCCAAAATTCGGTGTCTTGACGGTGTGTGTAAAGAGAAGCGCAGGAAGGTGGAGTATGAGAGAAAGCCACCCGTTGGAAGGTTCTCTCCCACAATTTACCTTAGCAAAAGCGAGGAGCGGCAATCCACCCTCATCCCTCCATGCAATCGTCCCCCTTTCGACGTCGTAAGGCTGAATGGGGTATACAGTGAGGCAACCCAGAGTAGAATGGGTATGGCGCATGCCTATTTCTGAATTGAAGCCCGTAGAGAGGATGGAACCAACGTCACCGGCGAACCGTCCTGACGCGTATTCTTCAGTGCATTTAGTGAGCGATTCGCGTACGGACGCGGGTCTCTGTTAAATATCTTTTTATCGATGTTGGACTGATACGCAGTCCAACCATAATGCATTTGTCTCACCCATCGAGACGATAAACCATTCATTCGCATCGATCGATGAGTTGCCACTAGCTGTGACGTTAAATTATTCCAGAATCAACAGAATTACTTGCAGAATGAGAGAGAATCCTCTTTAAGACTGTAGAGACACATAAATGAAGTTCGTCCGAGTCGAAGTATCGCAGCGCGTAACACTGATTTCTCATTGGTCAATTTAGTCACTATATGTTCATCTTCGGGGCGGGAAAATTTTGAATTATGGGCAATTGGGTGCGTAATATTCAATTGGGACCGCAGAGTTATGGAACTATTTCAATGCTTGGGTTCTCCTCTTGAATGCACCATCAAGCTTCTCGTCATCAGTGAGAATCCAATGAGCAATAGCAAAGGAAGCAGTCGAGCGTGCAACGGCGTGTCGCCACGTGACTCTTTCCATTAGGGCGACCGAGAGAGGAAGAGAGGAAGAAAGGAAGGAAGGAAGAAAGGAAGAGAGGAAAAGAGATAGATGGGAAAAAACTCGTCTTTACGGCTGTGTATTATTTCATATCTCTTTTAACTTTTACTGCCATGACTTTGTTTTTTTTTTTTTTTTTTTCATCGTCATCCCGCGGATCCGCGGCTGTCACTTTAGTCAACACATGCTGTGATTCGAGATCATTTTAACGCATAACATGGAGGAGAGAAAAATCCATTACATATTCATCTGCAATGCCAAGTTTTTCCTACAGTCTCAACAGCCATAACAACTCTCAATCTTTCCTCTTTATCTGTGCTATGGTTTTCGGTTTCTTCGTGTGAGATATTCGAGTCACGTAATTTTTCTTGCAAACTGTTTGGACGATTACTGAAATACTTCAATACCAGTGGAAAAAGTTGACTCAATTTTCGAGGCTTGAAATCGGAAATAATGGAATGAGGAATAAATGAGAAAGGAGAGACTAATGAAAATTTAATGCAGAAAAGTTGAGAGGAGGAGAGCTGAATGATAACTATAACCATGCAGTCCAGCCGGTTGGAATGACTGATAAGCACTTTTCTCAAGGTCGCTAACTAGACCTCATGTTGCCAGAATATCAGAATATCAGTGAAGTGCAGGTGCAATTCACATCGTTTTCGGTGAAGGCGGACAGAAAGAATCAAGACGTATGATCACGGGATTTTTAATTAAGTAGATTCGAGGGATTCCCTCGGATTTCAGCGTGAAGATCTGATAAACAGGGAAGAAGAGGGTCCACAAGGATAATTGCAGACTAGCTGAACGAGTCAGTGTGTCAACGTGTCTGGTGAGTCAGTACTGATAATTACAGATAATTCAACCGATTCGCATGTTCCTATTTCATACTCCATCCGGCGAAAATGTTTATGCAATATTTATTACAATCAATAAGAACAATCTTCATCTTATTCACAATTTTTAATTATCAATTTTTCATGAAAAAAATTAAACGATTTCACATTCAACGTCGACGAGAAATAGAAAATAGCGATTAAATTAATTAGATTAGATTAAATTAATGAATTTTGAGAAAATAATTCGATAATTTATAGAGAGGAAATCATACCCACGAGATAATTCGTAGAACGTCTATATGCATATTGAAATAATTTTATTTAACCGAGAAATGCAAGTCAGAGCCTATAATATAGTGCAATATTTATTTAAACCACAATAATTAATGAATATTAAAAATACGGCATTGCAATTAAGCCCATCGGATGTGGAATTCAATTAAAACCCTAATTCCAATGAATGAATGAACACGAGAGTCGGAATTCGATTATTTGTCCTACAATTTCAATAATCAGATATAATTTTCATTCATCACCAGTTTTTTAAATAAATATGTACATATGTTTTGTGCCATAAATAAATATATATTTAAAAACGGAACTAGAAAGCAGTCGGAAAATAATAGTCACGCAGACACGGTAAATGCGGATGGATTTAGCGCTTCCCTTTCGTACGTGGTAATGATTTCATTTCAGAAACAGATGTTAATTCCATATTCACTCGTCTTTTTAAAGCGCGTTAAAATATGGACATCCGTTCGATGTGGATTTAATGTTTTGCCAAATGGTATATAACGGTAGGCATCAACGATGCTCGATACAATATCGACGGAGAAAATTTCAACGACACACCAACCGGAGAATGACGTTAAACTGACGTGAGTGAATGGTCAGCATCCCTAACGCAGTGGATGGTCTGGAACTAAAAGGAGAACATAAAAAAAAAACGAGTGAAATGTGAATGTGTCCGTTTTCGGTAAAAGGCACACTTTCGTGCTATTAGGGTTTGTATGTGCGTGCTCCTCGGTAAATTTCCAACATTTTCCCACCAATTAAACTCATTTCGGTAATGAATTGAGGGAGTTACCGAGTTTTGAGTTTCATTATCCAGAAAATTAATATTAACGCTGCAATTCTGGACAGAATTAAATGCCTCAGGAATTAAACAGAGGATTTCCCCCGGATTGTCCTAAAAGTGTTAAAAGATAGGTTCAGTCTCAAATTGATTTTGAGAAAACACCAGGAATACAGTCGACCTCATATTTTTAGATGTTCCTCAGAGAACAATTGGTTTCTCGTAAAAATCAATGGATAAAATTACAAAAGGAATTGTTCCTGCAGCAGAATTTGATGATGTAGGACTAAATGCTGAAGTGTGCAATGGTTATTTTAGATGAGACATCAAGAAGGAGAAAGCCACACTATAAGAAATTCTGTTTATGATATTGCGCTATTGGAATATGGAAATGGTCCAAGATATAACTCGTGAAATGCGCAGCAGAATAAAAAATGTGAAGAGCAATGGATGTGAATTGTCGACGGGAGTTTGAATTACGGTTGTTGAGAATCAGAGAGGATTCACTTATACGTGTAGACTCAGGATTTCTGGACTTGCTTCAAGAGCGGAAGGGTTCGTCGGTGACAATCTGGCAGTGCTTGGGACATTCACGTGTTGAAAGGGCTAGTAATCTAGCTCAGCAGACGCCAGTGCGATGATATGGACCGCAATTCGCTCCAAGGGTGTTTCCTCGTTCTCTTTTGTCGGTTCGCTTTTTGTTCTGCTGACGTGATAGGTGTCAGCAAAATTGAAATGAACACCGACGGTGGGTCGAGTCAATCGGAGAAAAGCTGGTAATTGTTTAAAAAAATTTACCCATTCGGAAGGGATTGAGGTATCAATTTGTGACCAATTGGATACAATGGCATTTGACCGGTCAAATGATGTGGAAAAATGCAGAGCTCTCCACTCAGACTGGCCACAGTTCTGGAAAATAGCTGAGGAGTACTTCTCCCAGGGGTAACTTTTGAGAAATGTGGAAACACATTTGAAGGATACCACTTGAAATGGGACCAACGGACTACCAGTGAAAAATGCAGAGCTTTCCAGTCAAGTTGAGATTCTGTTGGTGAAAAAGACCGAGTCTCTCTACCTCGTAAATATTACCAACACACGGAGAATATTTCAAGTGCGTAACAGCACTCGCTCCCTCAATAAGCGGCTGTTGAACATGACAGCATATGTGGTACATTTCTAGTTTCATATGCGGGTGAGAAAGGGGGAGGGCTGGGAATCGACATCCTTACACTTTCCGTTTTGCCCTCACACTTGACAAAAGACATCCTAAAATAAGAAGCAATTACTTTATTTGGGTAGAGGTTCTGAATCATCTAAATCGATATCATGATGAACGTTCATATCACCATTTGTCATGCTTTCATCGAAACTCACGTCAAATCATTCGAGAGATACGACATTTTGACAATCTAACTTTATCACTTGTCTTCAATTTCTAAGGATTGTTCATTTGGTGTTGCAGGGAATGAGATTCCACTGATGATCCTCCAGGGGATGTTAATGACAAGGAGAGGCTCCCACAGTGAGCAACATCCAACTAGTCCTGCTATATGTCCACACATTCCAACTTCGTAAGGGATGGACGTTGAGGTCTTTGTGGACATATAATCGAAAATAAGATAAGATAAGTGGCAGCTGTAAGAGGCCATTCAGTGGTATCGCACTAATTCAGAATGTTGCAGCAGGAATTTGAGAATGGGAGTTCAGGGAACTTTTGCCAGAGGCGAATGCCGAATTAGGAAAGGTCTTGGAACGTACATTGCAAGCTGATGGATAAATATTGCACTGGAATTCATGGGGTTCTATTTGAATCTCTGGATGGAGCAGACGAATCGATGAACAAGATCTCTGAACTCTTTGTCAGATGAATCAGTCCGTCCGGGATAATCGTCAAGACCGAAACGAGGTAAATCATCTAATCATTTGAGGATTGTTCATCTGGTGGGAAATTTCTCCTTGACGTCGAAGGAAAAAATCCATGGAAAAGCTTCTTGCAAGCGAATGACGGAATCTTGTTCCACTGGATGATGTGGATGCGGCGGGTGAAGCGGAGATTTCAGGAGGCAGGACAATTCCTTTTGTCTAACATTGATATTCATTGAAAATATCTACTGATATTAAGTGGTACTTTTGGGGAAGAGTCTTCAGGTTGTAGTAGTCCATGTTGAGCTTCTGGTTTTCCCAGATTTGAGGGCGATATTAAACTCCGCATAGTCGATGTTCTCGAGTAATCCCCAGTTTTTGGAGAGGGGAAGCCAGTCCGATTCCGGGATAGCAAAGGGTGGGTTTATTTTATTCATTGCCATATCGACTTCTGCAGTCCACTGGAGGTTTTCCGTTATTTTTTGGGGTTTCAACCCATTTGTTCTTGGCAACTCGAAACTTCCTCCATCGGTATTTAATGGTTATGTAGTTTTGGTCTTTGTTAAAAGTTTCTCAGTCTCGGTACAGAGCTATTTATATTCCCTGTAATGTTCATTTTAATCAATTAAAACTGACGGATATACATCGGATCCATCCTGATTATCTTGTCTTTTCGATTTGGTTTTCGGATTTATTTTTTGGTACACCGAGAGAAATATTTTGCCAAAATCCCAAATCTTCAGTTCACTTACCGATTATGGAGTCGATTCGAAAAATTTAAGTGACGGTATCGTAATTTTTCAGTGATAATTCAGATAAATTACGGAACACCCCAGAAAAATTCCGTGACTTTAGATAAAAATTACGTGACAGTTCCGTAAAATTTCCGACAACCACATTTCACTCCAGAATTACAAAAAAAAAAAACATAATTTTTATTAAATATTTCTCTCTGTGTATTCCTCTTCTACTAAAATTTCATCAAGTTCCCGTGTCTCTCGTTTTTCGATGCTTCTTCAAGGATTTCCCATATATATTTACCAATATGCATTCAAAAATTACATTTTCTAAATTTTTTGGAAAATCATCAATGGAATTGATCTGAAAAAATATAACGAAAATGGAAAAATTGTAAATGTCTTTCATTTTGTATGTTAGATGCATCGGATTATATTACCGGTTATATATGCGAAAGAATAATTAATATATATGTTAATATATAATAATTATATTATTTTATATACAACTCCGTGGAAAAATGATATAACATGAATATTTATTTTATATATACTACCTATATTTAAATTATTCTTGTATATAAGTTATATTCCATATATATATATATGTAACTGGAATTTCAATTTATATGTTCCGGATACACATGGTTTTATGGACATTGAAGAATTGTTGGATTGAAATTTCCTGAGGATTACATACCCCATGTAATCTTGCACATGTTACTTGTATTTATTTAATTCTACAGTAATTTCTGGATAATGGCGTATCTACCCGGGGCCACATCGGAAAATCAAGCCCCGATGAGGAGAAAGGAGAAAGGTTGAATACCAATTTTGTAAACAAAGGAGGCATTGCATTGGATGAAAAATCGTTGAAGCATTTTCGTCGGTGGAAGAAAGGCACCCTCGAATGTATTGTCACAAAAGTTGAGTTTTTAGGGGATACGAATGGTGAGAGAGGAGAAGGTGGAAGAGGAGGAGGAGGAGGAGAGGACGGACCAATATGTAGTCCTCCACCGGCCTGCTCTTGTCCCCCTTTCACTCTGTACGTCGTTTTTATACCAGCCTTCGCTACTCGTTAGTGACTTTTATCTACTTTATTCACTGTCCCTTCCATTCATCTAGATATGGCCATTATATTACTTCAGAACTTATTCCGTTTTTCAACTTTTCAACCAACTTTTCTACACGGGTTAAGCGAACGATTTTTCTATTCCATTGTACCATTCTCTATTGTTATTTATTTCGAGTGTCGTAATCGGTAAATTGTGATATGTACGGTGATAAATTGTTTATTATATTTTATCTTTGCACGCACGGAGAGGACAATTTAATTTTTACTGATAATTTCAATAAATATTTCAATGCGTTAATTAATTCAAGCAACAGCCCTAGGTAATTATTTCATTGTTTTTAATTTTATGAATAAATATTATATTGTTTAAACAAATTGATTAAATAAAATTGTAGTCAACCATCATTGTTTCTAGATATTGTTACGAATCTGATTGCTCTTCAAGGTAAATAATTGTTAGTTAAAATTAATTAATTGATTTTGGTAATAAATGTGAAGTGTTTCTTGGAAGGTAATACTTCTCGTGACAATTAACTCTATAAACGAAAATTCCCTGGCACCACGAAAACTTCAGACATCGGTTTTGCTGGAAAAATTTCATGGGACTAGACAACGGCCAGACCATTCCATCCGGACTATTAAGATAAAACTTGATGTCCTACAAGTGGAGGATCCATTGCCATCAACCGAGGAGAAGTGTCAGTCGAGGATATCCTGATCTGAGAAATGATCGGAAAGAGAAATTCCCGTTGAACGATCAGATTCAGCTGGAAGTCAACGAGAGACACCCGCTGGACGAAAATGCAACACCAAAAATTTAATGAGAGGACTAAAATCATTTCGCATATTTTTAGTAAGAAAATATAATAATAAATATAATGAACAACTTCTCTCTCATCAATTAAATCCATTCATTAATTATAAATTGTTATAAAATAAACATTTAAATAATTTCTGAAACCCTAATAGTCCAAAAATGACAAATTGATTGACCTTTTCACCTGCTCTCGCGAGATTACCTGTCTCGAGTATTTAACTAATTGGTTAACCCGCTCATTAATATTTTCACCTACTCTTGTCACTCCCCACGCCCTCATTAATGAGTAAATTAATTAATCCGTTCACCTGTTCGCGGGAGAAATCACCCCCTATCTCGTTAATTAACTTTCACCCACTCCCGTCGACCCCTCGGCACCCTGCACCCTCATTAATGAACTAATTAATGAGTGAGTGCAATTGATATGATACACTTTACGTCTCGCTGTGCCTGCGGTTTCTCATCTCAACCTCTGCTTTAGAGGTCTTGATTCGCTTGCTCCTTTGGGCGCCTCCTAACTTCCTTCTCGACAAATAAAAGAAAAAAAAGATCAACCTGTGGAGATATTCCTCTGAGAAATATATCGTCAAACGTTATCACTCATCGATTTGTATCTAAATATTATCATCATCATTTTTAACTCATAAATATTCATTATTTTATATAATATATTTATTTGTATAAATATATACAAAAATGCATGAATAAACAAATATATCATATAATAATATATTATATAATACATGATGTATGGAGAAATTGTATGGTGCATCAGATGCCCCCTCCACTTTCATCTGAAAATTTTTTCAATCGGTGTCTTTGTTTAAAAATTATTTGGATTATTACAATTGCAAATGGGATCAACAATTTTTATGGCTCCACCATTTTTTTCTGTCTACTCATCATTTCATTATTTTTTTTATAACTATAATCAATGTCTGAATATTAAATCGAAACGATTTTATAGTCAAATATTTTTTTTTGTAATCGGTTGCCTCAGGAGAGTACGTACGTGAATTTTTCTGGCGTTAGAAATAAAATCCATCTAGACCGTAATCAAATTTATTAGATTCAGCAGTATGCATTGAATTGAGTAAAAAATGTTTTAAAAAACTGGTGGAATTGAAAGAGAAAGCACTAGCAGAAAGGGGATATGAGATCCTTGAAGAGATCTGATGCAACAGGTGCTCGTCCACTGGAGAACGATCTGTTATAGGAAAAAAATCAATCGGAAATGATTCCACGATCGAAAGATTTTTCCCGAAGATTCCGACGAGAAGTACCCGTTGAGTAAAAAAAAATAGGGAAAAACCCGAAGCTTTTTCAATTGTGGAAAGGATTCGATGATAGATTAATCGAAAAATAATTCACGGAAATTCAAGAATTTTCAAAATTTCTTTAATGAATGACTCCAAAATATAAAATTCTTAATTAATGCATTTAGCAACCGTCGAGCATTATCAAGTTCATTTGAATTTCATTTCAGTTCTTTTATTATTATTTTTTTTATAATTATTGGAATGATTTCCGCAAATCTTGTATTTCGAAATTGAGAAAACGTTCCGTCAGAATCCGAAATTCAAATCGATTCATGTCGTGCGGCAGTTAATACATACCGTCTGTAATGATAAATCAAAGAGAATAAATGAATTGACAAAAAGTGATCGATGATTTATGGAATTCTCTAACTAGAATACAACCGTCATATTTCATATTCTGGACTTGTTTTGTGTCTGCACGAATCGATTCCTTCTCAATTCATTCAGAATACTAATTAAAGAGAAGTGACAGTGCGATAAATAGTCGAATAATGATTAAGTGGAAGTGCCTCGTTGTATTCCAATCAATATTCAGCCGATCACCGAAAATTGATTGAGTTATTTCGACGTTAATAGAGTCGCTTCCACGGCAGTGCCGACAGAATCAAATGAGAAGTCAACAAAAATTTAATGGGCTATAAACTATTGTCCTAACAATTCAGATCATTTTAGAAGCTGAAGGATCTGCTGTATCCTCATTTCTCAATGCGTTCCTCTCCGGTGATCCTTCAGGATAATTCCACTTTTGGATTTTCGCCGAGCCAAACAAAACGAAGACGACGAAAGCCATGAGCTGGCAGATGACACTCAGCCAGAAGACGTACCTCCAATTTTCAAAAGTGTGCTGTCAAAATGAACATACATCAACTCATTTGTTCAATTAACAATCTGAACAGTAGTACTTACACCACTTTTATTCAGTTCACCAACAAGTGCAGGAAGAATGAACGCCGATATTGTTCCTGGTGTATTGGTCATTCCCATGAGAATACCAGCGTAATTCGGTGCTAAGTCATTCTGATTGATTAAGTGACCAACAAAGATTGCACCACAAATTACGATGCTGATTACGAGCATCACTGTAGCCCCAACTCTTTCACAGCCGGAGTAGGCAATAGCGAGCATCAGAATACTTGGAGGAATGCAGCCTTGAGACAAACGAATAGATCAGATTCATTGATCTGTTCTTCGATGTTGTGTTTGATGTTTTGATACTCACTGACACCAACAGCAATTTTTCTGGCATTCGTCTGAGTCCAGAAACCTTTCTGCCTTCCCCAATCCAATAGTTTACCCAACAGTGGATTCGTGATGGCATTTATCAGATATGGTGAGCAACTAATGACAGCATTCTAGAAGGAAAGGTAGTATTAAGGATTAAGGAAGTAACCAAATTTTTATGGAATACTCACACTTTTGATATCGAATCTCAGCATCTTGTTCATATAGAGTGGCAATTGCGTGAGCATGAAGTACCAGCAGAAATTGCCAAGGGTATTGGTAGCGACGAGTGCCCAAAAAGGTTTCGACGTGAAGATATCCTTCCAAGGTACTTGACTCTTTCCGGACTGGGGTTTGCGATGGCCATAAGAATTCACAATGAGTTCTCTCTCAGGTTCGCTGATGTACTTCTGTGTCTCTGGATTATCAGCGAAGAATATGAAGAATACAGCGCACCAAATGAGAGGAAGGCATCCGTGAATGTAGAAAACAGCTTGCCAGCTGATGTCCTTCATGATGTATCCTGAGGTGAAGATGGAGATGACGGTGCCAATGGATGTTCCAGCGTTGATGATGGCGACCCAGGTGCTCTTCTCCTCGTAGACTACCCATTTGCCAACGAGTACGTTTACCACTGGTAGATTAGCTGCACTCACTAATCCAGTCATGAATCTCAAAAATAGAAGAACTCCGATGGATTCCGCTACCACTGGCACCAGCAGCGTAAACAGTGAGTTCAGAAGAACAGATGTCAGTAGGACGTATTTCGTGTTGAACCTGAGGGCAAACGCCAATACTTTGATCCCACCAGTCATTGATCAATGGTTTTATGTGCTGCTGGCCTATTTTGATCATCACAAGGGAATGCAAATGTCTATTTTAGCTGCCTCAAATCGAATTTAATTCCAACCATCGAATAAAGTGCGTCAACCGTTCAGACATGTCCTAGTGATTGCACTTGGGGATTAGTGATAAATGATCACAACAGCGAATAGACCTGTCAGCTGAGATTGTGACGCGAAATGATTAACTGAGGCTTTGTGAAATCTATGAATATCTTGGCAATGGGGTTCTCGCTATTTTTTCAAGCAGATTCTTGATCAGAAATTGAAAGTAACGGAGACATACAATGAAAAACAAATTAATTTCCAAAATTAATTCCCAGGCGATTATGATTCCGTTCTGATCATAATCATCATGATGATGATTATGATCACTTAGAGGTTGTTAATGTGGGACATATCTTTCAATAAACTCCACTGATTATTATTAATTTTCATTGAATGATTGTTAGTCATGATCACCTAGAGTTGACTCGAACAATTTATTCTCCCAGTGCACTACCTAATGAAATTCTTATCACTGGATTATACTTCACTCTCTGATTGACGTCGAAGGTAACACGGAATTGATGGACTGACTACAAACCTATCAGCAAAATATCCCGCGGGGAACATGCCAAGCATGTAACCAGCAAAGTACAAGCTAACGACCAATCCTTGTTGAAATGGCGACCAGTCGTAAGGGCCGTCAAAATCTGGTCCATCACTACCACTCATTCCATCCGTAATCTCAAACTGGGGACAAGGATGTGCTGCATTATTTCCATCGACTACCTTTCTCGCTTTCACCATTCCTATTATCGTCGTTGATATATTGACTTTTAAACCGTAGATTATCATATTTGCGATGCACAGCATTATCGCAAATGCAAATCTCACGTATCCCGCTGTAATAAATTTAATAAAGCAACATTTGTTTATTTATTAATCACTGTTATATCCCTGGATAAATGGGTGTGAATTCAGCCCACGTGGTGGAGAAAAGAAATAGACAGGAAGGCCTTCAAAAATTCAGTATCTAATAGCTAGGAAAACCTTTCATTTCTTCAACTGATAACTGGATAATGTACTGCATTACTTTTGCATAATGACACGGTACAGAAAACAAATAGGATATAAATATCTGCACCGCAGATTAAATAGTGATTAATTAATTATTAAATGAGTCAGTCAGAACTACTCATTCCTCAAATGACAAGTCTTTGTGTTTATCTAATTAAAAATGATAATTCATTTGAACGGATGATTTGTTATCCGGAAAATCTGAAATATAATGGAATATTTTTCAATACGAAAGCAAAAAGTGATTCTTGATTTTGACGAGACGTGTCTAGCTGCAGTAAAAAAAAAACACTTTTGTGTCAACATTTAACATTTTTATCACGCTCCACGTACACAAAATTCCTCTCACATACGTTAGAATATTTTTTTTATGTCCTCACCCATGTTTGGTCCGTGATTTTATCCAATAGTCGAGCTCTTGTCGCAGCTGAGTGTGACTATCAAGTAAAAGTCTTCTTCAATTCCGTTAGGATTAATTTACAATAGACATCTACATATATAAAAAAAAATATATAATAAAAAAAGTCATTACTCATAATCATTTGCTTATCAATCCTTTCGTAATGTGTCATTAATTTCATGGTATCACTTATAATTACCGGCATTATTTCGCTGATAATCACAGATGTTAAACAACTTCCTCTCTCTAGAGAAAAATATTTGAATGATAACAGTAAATCAGTCTGATCAGTCTCAATCTCTCAATCCGATTGTCCGATGTTTCATTTTCAATCTCCAATCAATTTTTAGGGTGAACGTCACTCGTGCTGTGTCACATAAACAAATAATTACAATAAAATGAGTAATTATACAATCTCTTTATCCGTCATACCGCGGGGAATTCACGTCACTGAATGCAATGAATGTCGTTGGCATCACGAATCGTCTGACACGTTATCTCATATCGAGTTTGCCCCCAAGTTGACTGACGCTTTTTTGATATCTTCTCTAGTGGGCGGAGGAGAAAAGAAAGAGGGAAAACGATGAAAAATATATGTGAAGGAGTGAGTAAATATATACGCATCACAGGAATGCGAACGCTGCGATTGTGTTGTGGAATACAGAGAGGGAAAAAATAAGATAATCAGCATATTGATACGCCAAACTGGTTATTTTGGCTAGTGAGTTGATGCGACTGGAGGCTCGTCTCCATTGTCCTTGACGATGTGAAGCGTTTCGGAATGTGTGAATTACTCTGGGAAAAAATTATTTTCGTCAAGGACTCATTTGTCGAGATCATCAAACGTTTTCATACATTTTCAAAATTTTATTCTCCAGGAAAGACAGCCCCAGAACTCCACTCGGTCATCTATATTCTAAATCCTCTAGAAAAAGGTTATGGTTATGACCTTGAATAACCTCGATCGATAATCATCAATATTGAAGGATTCTGTCAATTGCAAAGATAATTCAGTGTTTCAAGGAAATTAATATTATTCAGTGGAATTTTACCGAGGACGTACCCCATGTTATCATCCTTTGAAGACATATGATGATTATTATCGGAACCTAATCGTAATCGGCTGGAAATTACTCAATTGAAATAACCTCTTGAAAAACACATACTTCTCTCAAGTAAATTGATATTTGGTAAGAATCGAGAGATCTGATTTCTTCAGGGTAATCAGCTCTAGGAGATCTCGACTAAAATGATAACAATTAATATTGAATCTAATAAAAATGATAATAATAATTAAATTGCTCTAAAGAATGATTGTCTTCATTAACCGAATTAATCAACCCGATAATTATCAATATTAAGGAATTCCAGCAATTTCTCATAATAAAATTCGGTATTTCTGAATGGAGTAGATAATAATGAGTGCAATTTATTCAAGGACGTATTCAGTATTATTATTCTTTGAAGTGATATGATGATTATTGTTGGAACCTAATCGTAATCGCTTGGGAAGGACTCGATTGGAGAAATAATTGTTTCCGAAAATACATATATATCAAGTAAATGGATCCTCAGCAAAAATAAGTTCCTCACTCAATGTACTTTCCACGCATAATGTTCATGCATAATACATACAATTTTTTCACTGCTATTATTAGTTTTCTTTTTCCTCTCAACTCTGACTCGTTTGCATCGCACCATCAAGTGACTCGCAGATTTTCGACTCTACTACCCACTCTAATGGATCAATTCGTTTTTAAAATCGCCAGAGTTTAACCGACAGTCAACGTCATTGCAGACTATTAATATTGATATTCTGACCAAGTGGAATCTGCGATACGTACGTATGTTGACCGCATTCAACTTTTTTTCCTCAGTTTTTTATTTATTTATTTTTTTTTGATACGTCGATGCCAACGAGCGAAGAGGAAAAATACGGTGGTAAGAAATTCTGTGGGGATTCAATTCATCATCCACTGCATTTATCGGTATTGTGTTCTGATCGTTTTCTATCTCGAGTTCACTCACTCGCGATTGTAAAAAAAATGAGAGCAAATTCAACGATATTCTCATTGCGCCATTTGAAATAATTACTAAATTACGATGGACTGAAAATAACTGATAAACCGAGGCAGAACCGATTTACTGAGTTTTCACTGTGCGTTCTGTGTTTTTTTTTTCTTGGAGTAGGAGGGGAAATCGGATGGGAAAGTGGTGGAGACAACGAGGAAATGGAAAGGTCAATGGATCTCACCTATTGCACAATATGACAATTTAAAACCTTTTTGGGAAAAAAAAAGTAACGAGAAATGGGAATGGGATTGGAGTCATGAGAGGCCATTTCAATTTGTATTGCACATTACGACGCGAGAATAACAAATTGACATTTTTTTTAATTCCGATTTTTTTATGACTCTTTTTATTATTTGTTATATTTACCGCAATTAATCTTCAATTAACATTTCAATCGTTAATTCGTTGAAGTAATAGCGATAGGAAATTAGTATATTGTATTTGATTTTATAAATAAATATTATATTGTTTAAACAAATTAATGAAAAATAATTTAGTCAGTCGTCATGAAATTTTTACCATCGGTTTATATCTGCAACCGTGAATTTTCAAAATTTCAACAAAATTTTTTATTTTTAACTATTTTTAATGGAATTTTTATTTTTTTTGTCAGCGGTCGTGTTAATTGATAACTTTAATAATTGATAACAACAAAACGGTGAGGTGGATCAATCTCAAATTTTATAGAGACATCCGTTATCACTTCGAAAATATTATGTCAAAATTTCAATTCTTATGTCTTCGCCAATACATGGAAAACAATTTTAATCCCAAACAATTTTTTAGACCATCCGGTGATTTCAAACTTTTAGGAAGAATGTTGAATTATTAATGACTGATTGCATCTGTGGAAACAAGTTTGTGGGCTTATCAGGTGTTTGTGATAAGATTATTCTGGTAATTACGTTTTCTGAGACCTTGCAATTGTTCAGAGGATTATTTAACTTGATAAATATTATCTATTGAGTAATAGGAAGAAATGCCTGCATCTGAAAGTCGTTTAAAAATAATTATTGTTATAAGATTACGAGTTAATGAGAGACCCAATAACAATGGAATGTGATTTAATTATTATTCAGAATTTATTGGAGAGAAAAATTGAATGTAATCTTGAATTGGATAGGGTAGACTCAATGAAATCAAAAATTGGAATGATAAGATATTCCAATTTTAGACCCCATCAATAAAATTCAAAACTTTGATAATTCTATTTAAAAGTTCTCTTCTCTATTCCAATTCTACGGGCGAAATTGAAACAGCGGAATTTTACACTCATTCCTTAACTTCTAAACTTTAAAGAAGTTTGTTTTAGTTTTCAATAAACAAAATATATTCAAGGAAAAGTTGCACGAGTTGATTTATCACCGTCGATATGCGCGAACGAGTGAGAAACAATTGAAAAAAATCGAAACAAAAAAATTCAATTCCACAATTTAATGATTTTTGATTCATAACAAAATTTACAATAAAAAAATAGATAAATACATGAATTAATAAATGATAAATGGAATGAATGAACGAGTTGACCTGCACAATAAAAATTTCACAACTACTAGTTCCGAAACAATAAAACCCGCTAGGCGTAGAAATTCCTGGAATTATCAGACGGAAAGAACGAACCAATCGGTAAAACAACCGACAAAATTGCCCGAGAGAAAGAATCGTCAAGTGGAAGTCAACAATTACCACGAGAATAAACGTAAACGAAGCGGTCGATAAGATAAAAACTCAATCGTCGGCAAATGACACTATAATCTCTCGAAAAGCCGTAAAAATTCCGAATACCAAAGCTGTTATTTATCCTGAAGGCCTCAGCATGGAAACCACATTGACACCTAGAACAAAAATATTGTTGACCTTGAGACTGCTCAGTTGTCTCCGATTTCTCGGTAGAATTCCAGGAAAAATTATGTGAGACGACTCCGTACAAATTCTACGAAAAATCCGGCGAGCGGTGATCAATAGTCTAATCCGAAGTCAAGGACAAATAAGAATTGCTCATAATTTCGAATAAAATGACTCTCGCTACGCCATTGGTTTGACTTCTCGTCGGGAAATCTGAGAAACCGCAGATCGGTTAAAAAAATACTGCGTGTTACGCTCAATTGAGATAATCCTTCTGTAGGCGGACTTTATTGTTCATTAAATATAAAATTTGAGCTCCAATGAATAAATAATATATATATATATAGAAATAATGGACCAATTGCAAAAAGTAAAAAATCAATGAAATAATAAATAAAACAATGACAATATTTTTATTTAGATCGAATTATTGGATAGAATCAGATTATTTCCCTCGTAATGCTCGTAAAAATCGTGTTCGATAGGATCGATTAGTATCGATACCACAATGAACTGCTAAAGATCGTTTGACACGTGTGAAATGGAATAATTACCATCTGTCCGCGAAGAAGAGACTTTATGCAATTGAAGGATAATGTACTAAACCAGAACAATGTACTTGCACTAATCAGACAGTTAGTACCGGTTACAGAAGACAAGTGTCCGATGGATACATGAACTGTCATGTTAGAAGCTGTTCGAAATAGTGAACCAAAATTTGTCCAGTAAAATAACTACATCGATTCGAGTTATTAATTCAATTGTTCGAAGAAATGAAGTTGTCGGGATAATTTGAAGCTCGTGACTGCTTACAAAAATTCATAAGATTCCTGTCACTTTGATCTCATCTGTCTGAAATTGCAAGACCTGATTTGATCCTCGATCAATAAATCCCGGACAGCATGATAATCAGTGAGGTGTCAAAATTTTGACATTTGCGGGATCTAGTTGAGTGAAATGTGAAGTAATCAAGATCCCAGTGGCATTCCAAAGTGGTAAGTTCGTTGTCTCACATGCGACAGGTTTCGATTTCAAATCCCATCCGGATAAATAGACCCAAGATAATCGCTTTATTGCAGCTATCCAATGAACATTTATACCAATATAAAAAAAATTGAAACAAAAATACGGATTGTTCTCTAAAATAAATGACTCCTTGACGATAAAACCCGTCTTAGGACACATGCATCCACGAACGGGCCGAGCTCGACCCAACATTGGCAGTCTTGGTCCAACGCTGGGTCAGCGCCGGCTCGTCATGGCAAATGCGAGGGCGAGCTGATCTAGGTAGCAGCCCTAAAAAAAAATGAGCACTCAAGATTAATGAAAATGCAAAAGTGACCTATTAGGATTGGTATTAGGAAGACGGTGGAGGAAGACGGAACGGCTTGGACGATCGATGATGGTACGCGCGAATGATCGTTATTAACGCTATTATTAAACGCTCGA